AAACTAACATGCCCATCCTTTTAATGAAGATAAATGAAGTGTTCAATTGTGCAAGACTGTTGCCCTCTCCACCTGGCGCGACATGCAAAACACAGCTGCCAAGTTAGCGTGCAGCTGAGCAATGGGCTTCTCTGTCTGTGAGCTGCTGCTGCCGAGTGCTGCCCCTGATTGACGACCCGACTGGCCCTTGGCCCCACTCGCCCAACCCCAATTACTCCGAACCCCAACACCCTGAACCGTCTTGACACTTGCTCAGCCTCAAGGTTTTGAAAAAGGGGGGAAAAACTGCCCCTGACTATAGCTGCCTGAAGTGCAATTGAGCAAGTAAAAACATTAAGGCCTGGATTGCTCGGCATGTGATAGTGAGAGAGGCACAGGGCAGAGAGGAAGTGACGTCTAACAAAACATCCAGACGAACGCGAGGGAGAAAAGGTGAGAAAACAAAACAAGTGCAAGAGGATGAAGGGCCATTCCATGAACGTGTAAAGACAGGCAAATTGGAAGTGTCCTCACATCAGGCCTCAGGTCTTTACTGTAGAGTGGGGCTCTAATGACTGCCATTACCAGCACTTAACTGTCACAACCCATAATATCCTGGCTGCTATTGGCGTGGTTGACAGAGAATGTGCCACACAGCAGCAATCAGAGCAGTCTGACCCTAAGTGCAGCATGAAGTGGATTGCAGGGCAAAAGAACTAATTATGACACTCTGTCTATTATTTTAGTCCATAGTGCATCTACATAAATAGTTTTTGTATAATCACTTCTTTATTTAGGGTAAATAGATTTTTAGAAATCAGAGCACAAGTAAGGTTCAAGTATGCGAGTTAATGTTTTTTTTTTACATTTAAACTGCACTCAATAATATTTATTACATGACGACTGATCGGATGACGACATGAAAGGGGAAAGGTATCCCACAGAGTGACCAAGCCCCAGCGAATTATCTCCCAACTTTGCAGTTTCACCTATACTGTACAAAGCCTTTAAGCCTTTATTAGAAAATCATTTTAGTATTAAACTCTCATCAACCTTATATTCAGCTGCACAAAAAGCTCTGATTGCCATCTGGTGGCTGGCCTCAGTATTGGCCATAAATCCAGCCTCCTCCATGTTAGTGGATGGGACATTCTCCAAATTCAAAACTCAAAGTACACAGCAAATACATTTTTCACAAACAGGGTTTTTGTCACTTAAGGTAGTTTTGTCACACTGGTGTTTGTTCCAGTACACTTTTCCAGTAAGTTTGGTTTTAATTAGTTATTTCATGCTATAAAAACAGGTTGAATTGTCATGATTGACAGCTGAGACTGACTCATGATTGGTTGAGTGCAGCTTCATCCTCATGCATCTGCGCAGACTCTGGCTCCATAGAGACACGATGGAGGAAGTGGAGACACGTCAGCTCTACTATACAGTCTATGGTGCAAAAAGGGGTGTACCACCAAGTGGTCAAATAATCTAAAGAAGCAGAAAATCAGCAAGACAGCAGCTGATGTGGTGTGTCTCTCTTTCTATTCATCTTTTGTCCAAAGGCTGTTTCCTTTTCTTTCTATGTATCTCCATTTCACTTTCTGAAAATCATTAGTAGTGTACAACACGTCCTCGGTCCTCCTCCCTTTTTCAATTTCTCCATTCTCTCAGCTCGAGGTTAAGCTGAAGCTGCCACCTGTGTGTCGCATTTGGAACAAAAGATTGAGTTTCAAACTCCACTTTAACCTTTTAGGTTTCAATTTTCCAGAGGTAAACAATACGTTTACTTCTCTCGCCATAGTTTATGGCAAAGTCTGCAGTTTTCTGCCACCAGGAGATTCTGTGTCAAATCAATAATATAAAATCGGAGTTTGGTGATGTTGTGAGGTAGTGTGGGATCAAGAAAGTTGCCGTCAGCTTCTTCCTGTAGAGATTCTTTTAGTGTTAATCGCTGGGGAGGTCTTTACCAGGAGCCAAATCATCTGTACAGGTCTCCCTCTCTCCAAAACAAATATACCCAGTGATTCAAGCCAGTAAAAAACACTGAATAAAAATCAGTGTGTAGAGAGAGGGATGTCTCATTGAGGCTATAAGCCGCACCGCTGCTAATGTTTCCTCTGCTTGTTTCTCTGATAACTTAAGATCCAGACCTGTCCTTCAACCAGTTAGAATATATCGTCAGTTCTAACCAAGCCCAACAACAACCATGACACACACACAAAAGGGAATATGTAGCCATTGTGCAGCTACCAAATCAAATGGACCATTACCTTGACAGATTCCTCTAGCTTTTAACACTCCTGGAAACATTTGGGACATTGTACACTAAACTCAACTCAATACATAATAGGTCTAGTCATTTTCAGACATTTTAATGCAGAGGAGTCCCATATGACAACACATCTGATAATTTAACAAACTTAGCAAAGTGTTTATCATCACTTTATGACATCTTTTGCAGGTTTTGACTGAGTTAGCGCTGCCTCTCTGCAGCAGATCAAACGAACATGCTGGAAAAATTCATTCATGGCCAAACAATGAGTGGGGATACTTGTAGCTAGATTTATGAGCAGCTTTTCTGTTTATCTTTACACTCTTTCTCATTCAGTTGTTACAGGGGGAAAAAAAGACTTGCTCGGACTCAGCCGCCAACATTTCAGCCATCAGACCCCCCTCACATTTCGATTCAGAAACTTCCCAACCCAATAAACTTATTTAATATGTTTATGATTGCTGACATTCTTGAAGGTCTCCAGTGCATACTTGCCATCACAAAATAAATATGGATTAATTTAGAAAGGTAGGTTAGGCCTTAGCTGCTTTAGACAGCACAATTCCATCGACAGAGCTCGTGGTGGGGCTGCCAGGAAAAACACTTTCCTTCAGAGAGAACAATTCATCTGTGGCCCTCATGGGGGATAGGGTAAAGGGTGCTGGAGAGGTCAGTCCTATTGCCCACCGACCGACCCTGGCACATGCTCATGAAGTCAAACAAGAAAAAGTGAATACAGTTTGAGATCTACATCCTGGGTTTCTTGCTAATTAAGCTGCGCTTGTCTTGGCTGGAGATCAAGTTTAATATTGAACAAAGATCCAACATAGAACAGGGCTGCAGACGCACAGAGACCGAAACCAGCTGAGTGCCGAAAGGAATCAGTCGTGTGGCTCCTGCGAGTCTGCTCCTTTGAAGACATGTTAGCTTGATACATGCAACAAAATGACACAAAGTTTAGTTAGTCACTTCTTCTGTGCCTTCATTCAAATAAATATGAGAAAACTTCAGTTCACCAGCAAATAATTCTCTCTCTGACTTTGAAAATGTTGAAAAAGTAATTTTCCTGTCTTTGTCATTGCATCAGATTTCAAATGTGAAATTCCAGCTTTTTTTCCCTCCTGTTTCTATAAAGCCAGACAATGTAGCCAATTAGCAGTTGTTTTACAAGGTTACTGACTGACAGAAAGAACTGAAAACTGTTAAATCATTGTAAATAATGATGTTGGGATGCCAACTGGTTGCCAGGATGTACCAAATCACTATTTGGCCAACAGGCTGTGGATTCATCTTTAACAGATACAGAATGTATGAGTCTATGAGTCCAGGAAGCTGGCTGCCATTGGCTTAGAAACACTAACAGCACATAATGCTACATAACACCACAATTAGTTGTTAAATAGCCGTTTCAATATAAATGATGTTTATTCTAAACCAGATGCTCTGTCACCACCAGTGCACCTTATTTGCACCTGTGTATTGATGTCAAGAACCATGCAACCATGAAACCTGGCATGAATACAGTATGTGGGAGCAGATATATATATTCTGTAATGTTTGGTTTATAAAACAATCCTATTGAAAATTAGCTGATGCAAGTTCAAAAATCAGAGCATCACAAATCACACTGCTGCTTGATTACACTATGAAATCCAAATTAGTTTCCAACTGCAAAGAAGTAAGTATTCAAATAACATACAAGCTCAAGTAGAAAATTTAATTATAGGTCTTTATGAGTTTTTTCCCTAAAGTCTGATTTTGGGATATGACAAAGTAAGTAAAAAGCATTTGAATACCTTCAAATATGTTTTACTTTATGGGGCTAGGGTTAGTGATCTGTAATGCTATCCTGCAAATCAGAATTTTTATGTATTCCTCTTGATCCTGCTCTAAAGTCAAGTTCAAGCAGATCTGTTTTTTCAAAGGAAATGACACTATTTGATCAGTGTTCAGAGGCTGGAGAAAGCTCCTCATTAGTCTATTTACTCACCTCAAAGGTCATTTACTCAAGCGTGAAGTTGTGAAACCTGTGGGCATGATTTTTCAAATCTCCCCTTACCAAGGAGTCGATATGAAACAGAGTACAGTCAGTTCGAATACACAATGCCCTCATAGCAAGTAGAAACATTAAACTTCCCCTCAAGATAGCATTCCTGATAGTGATGGTGTGATATTGTTCAAACACCTTAGATCAGCTTTCACATATTTCCTGAAATTGGACCAAGCCCAATCCCATCACAAAGGGTATAATGAGATAGGTGAGCATTTCTGTAACAAAAGCAGCTCAAACCTCCATCGCACCCAATTAGATAAAACATCTGGGTGAGAGATCGGCTTAAAGAAGAAAACTCTAGGGCCAGGACTTAGGTCTCATCAAAGGTGTTGACAGAGTGAGAGTAATGTAATGCCAAAAACCTACCCCACCCTGGAACATGCAACATTTGTGCGTGTGTTATTGTGAGTGTAAAGTGTGTGCTTCACATCCAGCTACATCAGCCAAAAGTCGGATTACACCTCCACTCCCAATGTCCCACGATCATCATTCACTTCTATCCATAACGAAGGTGTAATGTGGTTGACTTTTCGCTCCTCTAGTGTGGTGTGTTGCGTAAATGTATTGGCTGATATAGTTTCATCTGACACATTGATTTATTTTTCAAAAGTTCAAATAAAGGTATACATTTGAAATTAAAAAACAGGCCGAGGTGAATGTTTTGTTGTTTTTTGTGTTTTTTTTTTTTGATCAGGCACTTACTGGGTCCTCTGGCCTTTGGCTGCTGTCATGGAGAGGCTCTTCGGGGAGGTGGTCTCGTCGAATCAGAGTGAATTCTCTGATGAACACTGCGTCTCCATCATTGGCCCACACAGCAACCTGGAAAATTAAAGATAGGGTCAACAGTGTCCTTTAGGTCCAGACAATCCCTCAATCACACCCACTTCCTTTGGTGATTGTCCAGGTGGGCGGAGGTGTGAGCAAACGCAGAATTCTCTCCGAAGCTCTCAATTTTCATCACACAACAATATATATAAGAAAGAACAGAAACTCACGTTTGGCTTGAAAGAGGTATTGAATAATTAGCCTGGGTTGAAGTGGGACATTACTTAGGGAGGGAAAGTGTTTTGTACATGCAGAACAAACATTTGTTTGATTGCTTATTACTGAGGTATAGATTTGACTGAGTGTACAGATAGAGGAGGAAGTCACTGTTCTAAAGTCTGATTATTACCTACGCTAAAAGAGGTTTTCAGCCCTGTCAGTCTGTTGTTTGGGTGGTTTGTTGATTTGTTTTGTGAGAAGGATCATGCAAAAACTGCTAAATTGATTTCTACAAAACTTATTGGAAGGATGGGACATGGGCCAAGAAAAAAACAATTTAATTTTGGGCAGATCTAAGAAATAGTTTTCACTTTCTTTAACATTGTGAAATCCGGATCTAGACAATTTAAATGTGGTTTCATGAGAGGACTGTTGGGGCTTGGCGGAGGTATGCACTCTACTGAGTGCCATTCTAGTTCGACAACTTCTTTGTTGTACAGACCATAGTGTATCTACCAAACCAATGCTCTGGAGCAACAGCAATAGTGGGAAGTGCAAGTAAATTGTGGTAAAACTTCCCTGCAATCATTTACTAAACACAATGTTTTTTCCTTTGGTTTGTACTCTTAACCGCACATCTTGATGAGGGGGAATCATCGAGGGCTCTGGAGGAAATCACAGCATAAGACATGTGATATCAAAAGATGTAGTAACCCACCTCCTCGGGGAGATGGGTAGGGGGTGAGAAGTATCTTGGATAGGGCCCATTAGCAGCACAGCAGGGCCCACATTCTCGAGGATGCACAAATTCACAGAGCAGGGGCCCTCAGCTGCTCTCTCTGTGGGTCATAAACACCCTGTGATGACCCAGGTCAACTGCCTGCCTGCTGGGCCTGTGCCAAGGCAGAGCAAAGCAGAGCAAGGGATGAGGGTTTAGGGTACTTGACGTTCTTCGCATTATAGGGGGCTGCAGATTTTTAGTTGTGAGGCAAAATAATAAAAAAATAAAAGCGCTACTAGGCAACTGTAGCAAAACTGACACCACCTTTCTGTGGGAAAGGCCCACAGAGTGCACTCCTAAAGAGGACAAATCAAATCTGGTCTAAAGCCCTACACTCAGCACTCCTTAGCTGCTGTCACTTACGCTGTGGAGGCATCTGCAACAACACATCAGTCACTGCAGTAAAATGTGGGAGAAAGCCTCCTCGGATGACAAAGATCATCATGTGCAGGAACATTTTTGTTGGGCATGGATCTGCACATGTCGCAGCTGTTGGGCCAAATGTAACAGTTTTGTTTGTCTGTTTCTGAGGATATATTTATATAACATTGAATTATTTCATACCTGTGAGAAATACACTGGGAAATCCTGTACAGCATGTTTCTCAGCCCCCCAAACTGCAGTATAAACCCAAAACACTTGGATGCATTTAGTATGGAAAGCCAAATCATTGAAACCTTTGTCAAAATACAGCCTGAGATGAATGTTAGAACACAACACAAGATCTTTGCTGACAATGTTGCACTGAAGCAAGTCGTCTCTGCCACCGATGCCGAAAATGAAAATGTTGCAAAACCACAAGCCAGGGGTAAAGCAAACATGTCAAACTCGAACATTAAGTGTGTGTGTGTATTGTGTGTGTGTCAGCTAGGATGTACTGAAAACCACTTGAGTGACCAGATGTCCTTGCTCAAGGCTAAATGGAGGCCCGGTTGAGATGAACAAGCCGATTGTGTCATTCTCAAGAGGTTTTTTTTCTCCTCAGAAATTATTTTCTCACACACTATTAGTGTCTTAACACCAGACATATCTGGCAACCATTTCCTTGTCATTTCATAGTCTTCATCCATCCTCCTTAAAGACATGGGATATGCTGGAACTGGACTGAGCTACAGGCTAATGGTACATGACAGCTAAACTCCCACTTGCTGGAGTCTTAAAAGAGGGATCTATCAAACATGTTTCTTTAAGAAAACAAGCTTGCTGTTAGGTGCCACTGCCAAGCATCCTGCACACCCCTACTGGACTTAACCATTAGGAACTGGCAGAGAACTTGATATTTCCAAAGAGAGCCACAGTGCTGGGTTATGCAGTCATGTAAATAAGGGCAGTGGAGGATGCAGAGAACATTGTTTAATTGCTATGCATGTATACTATGATATGTAGCCTACTATATGCTGCCTTGATTATTTTTACTTGTTCCCTAGATGAAATGTGAAATTCCTATGAAGCGAAGATATTGACGAGAGGAGATAAACTCACTTTCCGTACCAATGTCTACCTGCATTGTATTACAGTCAATGATGCACAAATGCACCTATCTGAGACTCTTGTCCTGTTATATTGTCAAATGCCAAAGGTGAAAACCCCACATAATTACTACCTATTTACCTTTTGCATTCTGGTATCTTTTAGTTCACTATTACATTTTTTTACCCATCAACTTTAATGGTTAGGTTTATGCTCAAACAGGCTTGAAAATGAACATGCACAGATAACAATATATTATTATATATATAATAATATTACAGTTTACACTACGCCCAAGTTCGCAGATATGTTCAATACAATACAAGGAGAATTGGTTATGTGGACCCTCATGAATTACAGTCACTGTACATCTTTTTCCTGTGTCGGATATAATGTGTTAGAGTTTATACAATGTGCTCACTCAGGCAATGTTTGAGATTAATTGAAATGAAAATGACAGGGGTTAAGAAAACACACACTCTCGGTTTGTTCGGGTGCTTGTGATTGAAAGAAATAACTCCAAGGGCCATCTACAGAACTACCCACAAGAGGCCAAAATCCAATGTTAGCTATCCTGGATGTGTCAGTTTGACAAAGGACAAGGCTGAAAGTAAAGCAGGGAACCAGGCCAGTCACTCATTAACCTCCAAGGCGAGTCAGATTTCAAAGAGTACGTCTCAACCAGGCAAGAGAAGAGGAAGTGAACTCTGGGGCAGGTCGGGTCCTCAAAAGCACATAATCAACAGTAATAACATCCAATGTGATATTATAATTAAGCTTTCCTACAACGTGGTGCCAGCTTCCACTGTTTGGGTGGAAACTGTGAAAAGTGAGCGACTTTTATCGTGGCACACCGGGCGAAAACTTAGACTTATGTTTCACGAACTGCTGCCTTTGATTAATAAGATTCCGTCCAATGTTTAGATAGGGACGCCCCTTTCTCGAGAGCAGCTCCTGTCTGAATGAAACCTAAGAGGAAAAGATATTTCTGCTAATCCACTTTCAAGGGGATTTATATGAGCTTTCACTTAACACATTTTGAAGGAGGAAACATTGCGGCCTTCTTTTCCTCTTCGTCTCTGCTCCTCTTTCATGAGGTCGGAAAAAAGGTGCCCTTTTTCATCTGATGACTTTTGATACATCCGCCGCTGGCCCCCACACATCGATCTGCTGGTGGATTTTTCCGCTCACTGTGAAGGAACCATGGGATTATGATGATCTTAGTTTAATGTTTGCTCAAAACAGACCAAAGGCCACTTCAGGATTTTGGGGCCGATGAAGGTGAGAGTCATGCAGGCCATGATAAGGTCTTGGCTCGCTTCAGGCAATGAGAATCCTTCAGTTTAAGAAAAAAAGGGGGAAAAACACCCCTGGCTACTTTCACACAGGAAACCTGCAAAGCTCATGGCTAAGCTCTCTGGGAAACTGAATAAAGCTGAAATGCAACTTTCATCACATTCTCTGATTCCTGATGGATTGTTTAGTTATCTTTATGCTCTTCGTCAGATGGCCTTTGAAGATGCACTTTATCCCCGCCCTCTCTGCCAGATTCCTCTCAGCTTGATTTACTGATCTTTATCTCCCAAGAGCAGCCCGTCCTGCGAGCATGAGTAGAAGAGTGGCAAGGAGCTCAACTTGTCTCCATTTCTGCCCTCGTCAGCTCCCACACTTCTCATCTTGAACAGCACAAGAAATGAGAAGCCTCAGGGAAAAGAGGAAAAAATATATATCTACCTTCGATAGGGGAACATTTTTCCTGGCGCTGTCATCACATCCCTATGTGCTTACGCTCTGTTACCACCATGTGTTAATGTCTCGTAATGATGCGTGACACCCTTCCTGATGATGCATGAGAACGTCCTTGACGCAGCCTTACCTGTTGAATTTGATTTTAAAAACCATACCGGTGCAGAAGATAATGCAGATCAAGTTAAAAGCTTAAAGCGGATGCAAGAGAAGGTGTCAAATGATGGCTAATCTTGTTTACACATGGAATTAATAAGCGTCTTGGGTGATCCAAGCACAAGTAGAAGACTGAAACTCATGTCTGCATTGATTTACTGTACAGCAGGATGCATTACCGTTTACACCACACATTTGAGAACCCCACCCCCAAGTCTTCTGTGCCCTGTGGAGGGCCATAGACTGTTCACCTTGTGGTGTATTCATGGAACATCTGTTCCTTTTTCAAAGAACTAAATCACAGATGTATGTAGTTGCTCAGTCTGATGAGATTTAATTACAGGTGATTATTCACCTGAATGAGGCCAATTCCTATATTTGGTTTCACCTAGTTTGCGTATGAACCTATTCTTTGCAGTGGTAACACCCTCCACCTGAGTGTGTCTCGTGGGATAGTAATGGTTTGTTATCGGGCCGTCTCTCCCGTCCCAACTCCGATATCAGATCCTTTGAACTTTGAAAAGGAATACAAGCCTATGCCCGCCACACTGATGCAAAAATATTTATTGCTTGATAAATGTGTGCGTCAAATGTGATTACTGGTGATACTGTCTAGTGCTAGAGCAACAAGTACTTTTGCTTAATAATGAAAAAAAATAATCCTTCTTTTTTTTTTGACACT